GATGCGCATTTCGTGTGCAGTTAATCCCAAGTGGTTTCCCCCCAGATGTTGGTAATGTAATTTGTCGAGCCCCAGAAGTCGTTCAGGTATAAAAGGAAAAGCCAGGGCGGAAAAAGGCGAGAGAGTCGGAGGAAGGAGAGAGCGCATGTGGTGTGCACTGAGAAAAAAACAAACACGTTGTCAAACAAGTCTTGTTTGGGCCAGCAAAATCGCTAGTTGAAAATTGCCAAAAAAGAATTTGTTTGGTTCGAATTTGAAAGTCTCAAACGTGAATAATTGCTCCGCTTTCGACAGCAACGAAATATTTGGCTCAAGAGGCGGATAATTCACACCAGACGGTGCCTTTTCAGGATGAAAATATCTCATACAGAGGAAAATTTATCAACAAGTATTTTATCCCTAAGTTACAAGATTGCTATCATATCATTATTATTGTTTCATTTAAGGGTTCATTTGTTGCCTGTGATTATTAGACAGCCGAAACGACAAACTACTATCCCTTGTTCCGCATGAAACAAAGATTTTTCGGGAGCAAAATACGTATGGGAGTATCGAATAACGAAGGAGTAGTGCTAGAAATGACATTTCTTGCGTGTACAGAGAATGCAATTTTTTTTGAACTACTAAATCTATTTTTGCGACAAAAATTTTTCATTCCGGCGCACTCTCCGCATGTTTGGCACAAAAAAAAATCCTTTTTTGATCATTTTCAAAAAACTATTTTCTTGGCGCAAGTCTGACTTGTTTGAGAGTACGGTCACGAGGCGATCCAAGCCATCCCCAAGGTGCTAACGAAGGTGAGGACTTTCCATCCAAGTGTGTCAAGAGTCCCGAGCACTGGCCATACCAATTCTCTTTTTAGTCGAAAGAATGCAGGGGCTCGAGTGCCACATGTGTTACTTCGTTTCCATATATGCATTTCAGGAAATTTTTTCCGTCTTTTAATCGTCTTCTGAGTCATCCGAGGTCGAGTCTGTTTTTTGTCAAGGGAGAACATTCATTTACGGATATTCAAGGATTTTTACATGTTTAACTATTATTTTTTACAATTTCAAAATAATACCCGGAAATACTAAAGTTTTGTTTGGAAAATTTTGTAAAAAATACCGCAAGTTTTTTTTTTGAATGAATATTCAAAAAATTCTAGATTTTCATAGAAAGAAATTCTAAATTTTCATTTTTTATTTTTCTAAACTCTCGAATTGCAGTTTTTTCAATTTATCATTTAAAAAATTAATTACGAAGAAAAATATCGGAACATTTCCTATTGAAAAAATGCCCCAATTAAAATAATTGAAAAACCAAAAGGAGAATTAACTAATTCATCCACTAATTAATTAATTTATTAGAGGATTTTCTGCGGAAATTCCTCTAATAAATGAATTTATCTAATTGTAAATTATTCCCTGCATTTTCCTCTCACCAAAAAGTGCAGTTTCTCCTGAAATAGTTCACTCCCAAAAAAATTCCCCACTGAAAAAAATGATAGAAAAACCAAAAGTGTAATTTTTGTTATTAAAAAGAAATCATTTCCAAATAAACGTGAATAAATCCCAACAAAATGCCTCTAAACATCGTCTCCCCACGAATTACTTCCGCTACAACTAAATATTCATCGAGATACAAAACAAACAATTGACTAAAACTCGATCAACATTAAAATAATCTTTCCTCAATTCCAAATTTTCGGAATAACTATTTATAACACCAAGTGCTTTCCTTCCCTCTACGAGTAAAAGATTATCGATACAGCCGGTCGATATCTCGGTCAGGTGACCGCCCCTTCCTGTTTCCGTTTGTTAATCTCAGCCGCAGCATCCGTCAACATTTATCGTATAAATAATGTAGTTTTCCCTTTAGTCCCTTCAGTCACAAATAACCGGTCGCAGTGTGAACATCGAGGACTCCCCGGTGCCTCCCAGTGATAGGGAAAACACTGCCGATTACGTTGCAGCTCATCATGGGGCACTTTGCTGATTAATTAAAACGCTAGCTGCCTTTTGAAGGGCAACAACGTGGTCGGCTCCTCAAACAACCCCACTCACCCGACCAAACCGCTATTTTCCCAAACTCGTCATTTGTGAATTTAATTGAAAAATGTGTCAAGTGAACTGGAAAAAAATTCAATCTCATTTCTCTGTGAATAAAAAATAATTCTCTCCTGTACTTTTTCATGAATAAATTGTATTTTCTAGGGAAGAAAAAAATCTGCCTCGATTATTCAAGTAGAACAGCCTCAGAATTCTCCAGACCTATTCTCAACTCATGTAACGAGAATTTCCGCCTATTAATAACCGAATGTTACTTATAAATATCCGTAAAACGTCAACAGACGAAAATTCCACGGTCTCGGTAATTCACACGAGCGAGTAATACTCAAAGAGCCGATGTAACGAGGTGAAGAAACGATTACACCGTTTGAAGTTGCATGGACATGGTGTTGAATAAAAATAAATTGGAAATGCTAAAAAAACAGTGATTATTGATCGTTGATTGATTGTATTGATTATTTTTTATCTCTTCTGATTTTTCGACATTTTAATTCTTTTTTCAATCTTAAAAAATAATAAAAAATCAGCATTTTTCCCATGAGACTGTCTCATTTGTCATTTATAAATTAATTATTGTTAATAACACTGGACTGTTGATAAATAATAATTTCTGCTGAGTATCGCCATTCATATAAACTTGAATAATAAATCTATTTCGGATGTTAATTTGTAAAAATCGAGATGGAATTTTAAAGTTTGTGCCATTGCTGAATAGAAAATCAACACAATCTCAAGTTTCGGTCTTGAATGATCAATTTTCCTCTTCTAAACATTAGAAATATTGCTCATTAATTTTAGATTTTGAATTCTTCGAAGATTTTTAATGCAGTTCAAACCGATTTTGACAATTGATCCGTTTTCAATGAATAACTCGAAATCAAAGGCAGATGGCGAAATTTTCGTTATTACCTTTTTTGTCGAGCGGATTGAGAGCTACAAAAAAGGTCATTACGAAAATTCCGCCATCTCCCTCAAATTCGTAGATATTCCTCGAAAACTCAACCAAAGTCGACATAACTGGTTTTACCGCTTCACTACTAAATTATTAACTCTTAGGACGATTTATTAATTAGGATTCGAAGGGTGCACGTAAATCGAATGCCCTGACTCCATCCTTCAACTCGCCCCAGAAGTGCTGCTCAAAAAAAACAAAATCTTCTATTCATAATTCACTTTAATAAATAATATACACATTGCAGATAATTAATTTGCTAACAAAATTTATCACCCCTCATAATCGCAATGTATCACCTCAGCTCGCCAATGCAAACATCGAGATCCAATGAAGAAAAAAAAAGTCCATTCACTTAAAATAACATCTATGTTCTTTAAAAAAAAATGAGGGAACGCAAAGATAAATGACTCAGTGCACTTGGTGTCGTCAACCCCCAAGGAGCAACCAAATGTGATAATGTATAAAATGAATTGTACAACAAATGAAGAATCGCCCCCTGAGCCGAGGGCCTATCTCCCAGTAGCATATCCATCCTCTTCTAAAACACAAAACTCACTCGTCAAATGGTCTTCGCCCGCTTCACCTGTGGTACAGTGCCAAATCACAACTAAAATCATGAATATTAATTATCGCAATTGTCCACGGCCCAATCAATCACTTGATTTGCCGCTCCAAAAAAAAAAAAAGAAAAAAAATCCGAAGCACAAATTTTTCTCCCCCACATTCACAAAAGAATTGATCGTCTGCTCGTTACAAAGTCAATAATTTCCCCCACTAATTCGTATTCTCTCGGACGGAGTTATCTCAATGAAAAGATTGAACCAAAAAATTCATGAAAGGAAGGTAGGGTTCTTCCAGCTCGACATTAACTTCGTCATAAGTTTTTTCTTTTTTTTTTCTACTGGCAGGAGAGAAGCCGTGAAGGATGTTCTACCGATTCGATAGTTTCCCCATTGTAACTATTGATTCACATTAATAATCGATTGCACATTATTGATCGGTCACCAGAAGTGTGATTGCACATAGCCACCTCCCATGCCAATGGGATTGAAGCGATGTGGATGTATTTTTTCCATTCTCATAGCACCAGGACCACCACCCCCAGCACCATTACCGATATAATTGCCAGTGTGATGACCACCCCGAGCAAAACCAGCAGTACGATTTGTTGGATTAGCACCAGTGGCTGATGCTACTGAACTGCCACGACCACGGGTACCAGGACCTGCAAGCCAATGCCTCATTACAATTGGTAAAACCTCGCCACCCCCACGACTCGTACAATTATTCTTGGTTTGATTCATCTAAGAGCAGTTTCAAGCGAAATAATAATTTCGAGAGGCCTCGGGAGTCGAGGAGAATGCAAATGAGAGTTAGTGAAATGTTGGGTTATGAATTATCAGCCAAAAGGGGATGGAAGAATCAGAGAAATGGATGGGAAAATTGGTTCATTTTGTTCGAGCCGGACGAAGTAAGTTGAGCGTAGTTTGAAGGGGTTAAATAATTTTTAAAAGTGGTTAAAGATGCGAGGTGGATGCGCCGCCATCTTGAAGCCCTTTGCAAGATGGCGGCGCTCAAGCTGTCAACCATCTCGTATGTGCGAACATCTCTTAAAATGATTTAATCTCTTCGAATAAGTTTAAACTCGTTTCATCGAATTCATAAAAAATGAACAATTTTTTGAGGCTCTCTTACATTCTTCATCCCCGTTTTGATGAGAATTTACGGCACGAAGGTTTCCCCGCATGTCACTAACATTCGATTATGAATTTTCAGCCAAAAGGAGATGGAACAATTTGAAAAATGGCTTCAAAAATTTGTTCATTTTATAGAAATCGAATAAAGGGTCATGAGGATGATTTAAAGAAAATACATAATTTTTAGAAATGTTTGAAGATACGAGGTGGGCGACAGCGTGAGCGCCGCCATCTTGCAAAGGACTTTGAAAATGGCGGCGCTGAAACTGTCGCCCACCTCGCATTTTCAAACACCTCTTAAAATGATTTATCCTCTTCAAAGAATTTTCAACTCATTTCATCCAACTCCTGAAAAATGAACAAATCATTCAAACTCCCAGCCTTTCATCCCCTCTTGTACTTTTATTTTACTCCCAAGGGCCCTCAAAACGAACTCCAATGAAGAATTGCAATCATCAGTTGCGAATTTACAAAAAATTAAACAGCGAGCGGAAATAAAAATGAACATAACTTGGAAATATTTTTTTTCAATGAAATAATATTTGTTCTGATGCTTTATAACTGGAATATATATTACTTTTTTGTAAGATCGTATCGAACCACATTACCTCCTGTCCAGAACTTTACCTCGACATAAACTCGTAGATTGTCAAGTGAAGTGATTAATGGAGGGATTGTTTATGACGGGAAATAATGACGAATAGGTAACAGCAGTATTTTCCAATTTTATCATATTTTCCACTTGTTTTTTTCATCAGTTGCGAATGACAACTATCCCAGCACTCAGTTTATTCTATCGAAGTTAAGAGATTTGTAATTGAAACGTTACACGCTAACACGTGTCACGCGATATATAGATTCGTAGGCGATTTTCCATAACAATTTGAGATACAAGAAATGTTTTATTCATCTTCGATCCAAAGTAATTGAACGCCGTCTGTCCTGGCGATTTTCCACGTTAAATAACTGAACGTAAATAATAATTTATATTGCCATAATCAGTTGAAGCATCAATACAGTAAACGAATGAAGCGAATAACTGAGCCACGATTTTGTGAAATGATTGTCACGATAGAAATCGCCAGCACAAAATTTCACAATCAATAAATTTCGATTCAACAATGCAACAATTAAATATAAATGTACAAACAATGTCACCCCACTTCATCATCAAAAACATCAATTAATGTAACATTTCACAACGACGAATTGTGTAAGTCTACGGATTTAATCCTCGTCGTACAGTACATTATATACATTATATATATGCATTTAAATTTCGTGATTGATTAGTCGACAGAGAACTTTAAAGCATTATTTATCCTAATTGTAAACATGACACTGAGAAAACTTGGGGATTCACCAGTTGTTTCTCCTCGTTCAAGCAATTTCAGTTAATCTAGCCCCATTAAATCCCAATATTTTCCCTTATCTCTTTATCACAGCCATCGTTAGCACTACTAGACTTCTGTGTTCGTTCCAGAATAAATCTTGTACCACTAATTTCGGAACGACCCCCTGCCTTCCAGGCTTCGCCACATCCGTTTCCTTCGAGCCTTACATTTGACTAATTTCGTTCTTATACTTTTATCCTCGACGTGATCTAGTTATATGTACAACAAAGAGAAGTCAGTGACAAGAAACTGTTTATTTGCTTCAGTGAATTAGTGGCAACATTTTCCGCCGCTTCATCCGAATGCATCGAATAATTTATCAGAGATTAATTCAGTAATTGTTGTTTTGATTTCATTGCTACTGTTGAGCCTGATTCCCACTGATCAATATTAATGTATACATTTATTAAAAGCCCATCTAAAGATGAATAGAAACATCAGCTTAGTCATTAATTCTCTGTATATGTTTCAGTAATCCATCGATATTGCCGCAAGCTTTGCTTTTAATCTCGTTTTGTTAAATCTCTAAACTCTGTCAAAAGACGAAAAACTTCTAAAATCCTTACGTCTACATTATATTCAAGATAAAAATGTCAGACGGACAAAATTGCTTTCTAATTTCTTACTCGTATTTAATCTAATTGTAAACAATTTAATGACGTGAAAGTTTATTTTCATCGTTTGATTGGCGGCTCTCGCTGTTACATATGTTTATTCCATCATTTACTCAATTCGTAATTTCAAATTGCTTACCCTGTTCCAAATCCATCGCTCCTTCGTTTTTTTCATCACTCTCACATCAATTATCATCCCACAATTATTCATATCGCGTTGATAACTTCATTTGGTGTGCACGTTAACGTTCAAAGACTTGCGTGTCTCGTATTATTATCAAAGGGGAAATAAAATTCAAATAAACATTAGGATAAATGTGCACAAGAGATACTCCAGGCAAAATCCAAGAGTAAACTGTTCTATTCTCGATTCGGCATATTGTGTCATTGAACATATTCGTTGATTCAACAACTAAATTTGAATTTAGATCTCGACTCAAGGGGAAATCAATCCAAATTTATTATTTCAATTACTGTAATTCTGATATTGTTGGTATTTTTTCCTCGTTGCGTACGGACAATCTCCTTGGCCGAATGGTAAGCAATGAAATTAGAAATAGAAGATTAAAATATACTGGTGATTATCCAATCCCACAATACCATTAGCAAAGTGATAAACCGTGACAGGGCGAGACGTCGCAATGACCTGTCTTAAATCGTCAATATCTCAGGACGCAACGGTGCGATTTGGGCGAGTCACCTCTCATTTTGAAGATATTTTTTCCAGCTTCAAAATGAAAGAAAAATCGCCCATTTTCACTCAATCGATCTCGAACTACTGGCGATTGAATAGAAGTTCGTTTCACACGATTTCCCCGCCGAGTCAAATTTTCCATCTTTTGTAACTTTGTGATTATCTCGATAACGACTGGTTCTGGAGTAAAATGAGTAAGAGCCTTTTTTGTAGCGCATAAAATTCCCCATAAAAAAGATTTTACAACATTTTTCCCTGCGACCACTCGTTACGGAGATAATCTCACTTTTACGAGAAGAAAAATTGACATTTCACGTTTTACCACTTCACCCTAGATTCAGCCCTGCGATTTAACTCTCACGATGAAATTTTGAATTCATACTCATGCACGTGATGAGAAAAGCCTCGATTTGATGTATAATGCAATGCCAACTTCGTATGCAATGGAAATTGATATTCTTATGCACGTTGTAAACTATCAGCCTTTTCACTACACACAAGCACATATTCTATTCGTTTCTTTTTATTCACAAGTATTTTCTCGTATTAACTCCTCAAGTATAATGACGTATGACCTGACAATAACGCTCTAAACATGGAAAACAAACGAAAAGGCTCTTGATAAATTCCATGAGGACGACGAAAAAAAAAACACCAGGACGGAAGTTCGGGATTAAAGTGATCAGGATATGCGATAATAGCCTGAAGAATTTACATATCTCATTTCACAGAAAAACGAAAAAAAATATATTCTGTATTTGACGAAACAATATTTCGAACGATGTACAAAAAAGCAATACAAAAAACATGTACTTGCTAGTCGGAGATCAAACGAAAGTCTCAATAAACTTTATATATCACATATCAATCGTAATAATAAATAAACAATTCTTCCTAAACGCGGGATTATGAATGTCGACGAATAAACGCTCTGTCATGACTTTTCATCTCAAATGATGTGTTCTCCTCGCCCAGTCACAAATGACAGAAAATAATACTGATAATGAAAAAATCGTTCTTGAAACAAAGATTGTTAGTTTCTAATGGAAAAAAAATGATTGAATTGCTGTCATCGTGTGAAACAGAAGGGCGGACGATTCTCCATTGTCCATTAGATAATCCTGTCATCGTGCGCTGATGAGAGTCGATTGGTTCCCATTACTTTTCCATACTTTATACTTTTTTTTTCCATATAAAAGAAAAAACACGAACACAAAAAAAAAGTCACTTTGATCAACCATTTCATCTAAACGCTTCGTTGATTGTTCTTACAAATAAATAAAATATCCTCATGATGATAAATCTCTCTTTTCACATAACACAGTCTCGATTGCGGGCAATATAAATTGTTATTTACTCTCTGCTGTGACCCGCGATTTAATGTAAATAAAGATAATTGTGTGTAAAAGGAAGGTGAACAAATTAAAGTTGTAAAAGTAATATTGAAGAATACTTGGTCCCGGTTTGTTGCTGATGTGGCACGAGTGAAAACCGTTATCACCGATTATTTATCGACAAATCGTTATTTCGACGATTTTTTTATAGCGGCTTGTGCACGTACCGACGTGGTGCCCAAAACTTCTTATCTGGCGAAATAGGTTTAAGTTCATTAGCGAGTTTTCCCGGATGCTTAACGAGGTGTTGCTTGTAAAAATAAAGTCTCTTGTGAGGTGGCTGAGGGAATTAGTCAATTCCAGGTGATGACAGATCAGTTATTTTGGAAATATCTGGGGCAATATTTTGTTGGATAATTGCTTTCTGAAAGTCATTGTTATTTGTGGAAAAAACCTTAAAAATATTCAGGTTTTTTAATTTTGATTTTTTACTCAATCGTTTTTTTAAATGTTTATTCAATGTTTTTTAAAAATGGCTGGAGAAGTTTAATATTCTTAAATTGTCTGATAATCAGCGCCATTATTACATTTAGCAAAAACCGCGTTTTTCAGGAATTCCTTTTCGGTAAATAAAAAAGAACGAAATTTTGAATATTGATAAATTTATTACGAAAATTAATTGTTGATAAATTATCTGCAAAGTAGGTGAGTATCTAAAAAACTTTGACTTTTAAATTTTTCCAAGAAGTGAGAGAACCCTCGAATATTCTTAGATAGCACGCGAAAAATTGTTATAAAATGGCAACAAAACATGTCTAATTTTTTTTCAATTCCGTCATTATAAATGTATGAAGGAAATCGTTGAAACCTTTGGAATATGAAAAAAACCTGAGGCAAAAAATCAACGAAAACTGACATCCATCCCCTTCCACCACCTCACAATACCAAAATGTGATGATAGTCAACGAATCGTCATGTTCAAATTCCCAACAAATTCTCAAAGCTTCACGACTAGCCGCTGCCAGCACTCACCAATAATCGTTAAAAAAATTCACAGTGTGAAAACGTCGAAATGAGTACCGACAAATCATAAACTCCGATAAAACGAGCGTTTATCACATCTCTAAACGTGTCACTGCATCTTCAACAAATTATTCCAACACCCAATGTTCGATTAAAAAAAGCGTGGAAATAAGAAAATTCGTTCAAAGATGAGAATTCGAAAGTGAATGTGCAAAAATCACTGAAAATACTCACCGCGACTCTGATTGTAGCCAGCCTGCCAGCCAGCATAGTAAGCAGCCTTCTGTTTCCCATGTTCCTCAGCAATTTTGACACTGAGTGGCTCAGAGCCCCCCTCAGGTATCGTCCCATGGAGATGATTAATCGCCTCTTGTGCCTCCTCACGTTTATCATATCTGCAAAATCGTCCCATAAATTCGTCAAAATTCCTCACCAAGCAGAGGAGAGTAAATAATCTCAGAAATTTTTGGCATACTTTAACAGCGAGACAAGGTTCCCTCGACAAAATGCTTAGCATTGAGAGCTTATCCACATAAATTTTAACCCCCATTCTAATTACACGATTTAAACACTATTCTATTAAATTCTATTCAATTATAATTTAACATTCCAATTGCGCATTGTGGACATCGCAATTTTTAACATCAATTAGTGTTATAATAGTTCATTTCGTCTCAAGTTTCGACCTCTGCATTAAATCAAAGTCTCGATGTTTTGCACTGAGACCTTGTCTACAAAAACTGCACTCCCCACATGCTAACTGCAAAGTAAATATTAAATATTGAATTCAAAATTTTGTGCAATCTTTCCTCAATTCCCCAGGCACGAATCGTACATAAGGAATTTCACCCCAGAAATTGAACATTCACAACTCTAAATTGCACAATGTGAAATTTAGACTGCACAATATATAATAGAGTTGTTCCATTTCTCTTTAGTCGAACTTAACAGTATTTTTCATGCATTAAAATGAAGCATGATTAATCTACATCAGAATCGACTGATAATGTACTCATATTTTCATGTGTTTCATTACAAGTTCAATTTCTGTAGAAAATGCCTCAATCCAAACCCTCAAATGTGTCACAAATTGAAGGGACTCCACATCTTCAAACTTTAATTTTGTCGATAGAATGCTGTCCCAGTGTTAAAGTATTCCCAACTTCCACTCTATTAATAAGCTCATCAATTCTATTTAAAAATTTTGGTGTTACTTTTGCACGTTCCAACGGCTGATTTTTCGACTTGTGAAAAAGTGGGTCACTTATAGTACATGCGTTAAAATGAAATTGTGCAAGGGGGAGGGGAGGGGGGGG